ATGTGTGTACGGGGCTGAGCATCGTCCATGTATGGCTCAGACCCCACCATCTCACGATTGTATGTGTGTGTAGTGATATCTATGTGAGTCAGTCTGTGTGAGTCAGTCCGTTTATCAGACTTCCGCTGCATATATGCTCATCCTACATTGTTTGATCTTTGGTTCTGCCCAGACTCATTGAAGTATGTAACATCCCCTCAGCACCTGGCGACTGTGGTGCTGCAAGGTCTCCCGGTTGGGTGCCTTAGGGATACAGGACCCTGAGTTCGGGCGGGGGCGCAACCCGGCGCAGCGCTCCGGGAAGCACTGACCCGGGGGCGAAACTCCCAGGTCTGTGTGGTCGAGGTTGTGCGCTCTGCCTGGAGTGACCTCTGTGTGTTGGTGGGTGCACCTGGCCGTCAGGGTGGCTGAACCCCATGTATGCTGCCTCCTGCCTGCTCTCCTCCCTCTGCATTATCCCCGACAACTCTACAACCTTATATCTAAATAGCATAACCACAGTCAGACGAACACGAGGCTGGTTGTCCTAGCCCATTTAACTCCGTAAAAAAACCCTCTGGTGATGCTCAGTAGAAACCCTGCTGGCAATTGGATGAACCCTGAATTGAGACCCCAAGAAAAGGAAAACCCATGAGATATGTTAGCTGCGTGAAGCGCATGGCTGAATGAAACACATGGGTACATAATTGCCATTGGTGGTCCCAATAAAAATGTGCTGACTCATTCAGTTGCTGAAGATGGTGTTCTCAAAGGAGGCAGGTGCTTGGCAGCAAAGTAGATGGTGGATTACTGTTGCGTCCAGGTTGATCATAGCATAGCTTGTGGCAGTCTGGAGTGTATCTCTTTTTTGTCTTGTTCGTCACCATCTTCTTCTTCTTCTTCTTCTTCTTCGTGTCCTTCTTCTTCTTTTTTTTTTCCCTTCCTTTTTGGACTGTTTTCCTGATGCCATAGGTGACCAGATCCTCAAATCTTGTCCTTTTTCCTGTGACTTTCCTTTTTTTTTTTTTTTTTTTTTTTTTGAAGGGTCTATAGCCCCAAATGTTACTGTTTTCAGCTGATTGCAGCAGGAATTGAACTCACGATCTGTTTGTCAGGAGTGGCATGTAATGAAGCATTTGGCCACAAGGGACACATGCCTTTGATTTTCCGTTGTTCCGTGTTTCGTCTCGACTCTCTCTCTCTATCTTTTTTTTTTTTTTTTTTAATCTCAAGTTAAACGCTCTCTATTAAGGTAAGAAGACTTGAGGAAGGCTAGATAAGGTTGATATATATATATATTTCTCCTGATGAGTCGGTGAAACTCCAACGAAACAGTTTGTCACAGCCCCTCGTTTGTTGTCCTCTTCTCCCTCTCTGCCTACGGTTTACCGGGCAGTTCTATTTGACGATATATATATCGTCACAAACAGAACTGCCCGGTAAACCGTAGGCAGAGAGAGAGAAGAGGACAACAAACGAGGGGTGTATATATATATATTTTTTGAAAAATTACTGCTCCAGGTTGGCATACTTACGTGATGCTGCGCCAACCACAGACTTTTCTGAAAAGTGTGTCCCATGAGTGGTCTTTTTTCTTCGTGTGTGAGGTGTCCTCTCCCTTTGCTAATCTGTCTGAGTTTTGTTGTCGGTGGATGATGGTTTGGGTTGGTAATTCTCAGGTAGGAGTGGTTATCGAAGAGCCGTTCCCGATGCTTGCGCTCGATCAAATGTGCGCATGTACCCAGGAGCAGATCTTGCAATTCACAGCGATGGAGGACGTTGTATCTGTTCTTGTTGAGTCCCATGGACCAGGATCGGCAATGCGCGCAGGGTCGGGTGCTGCCCTTGGAACTGGGATGGGACCTGGCACTGGTCTCGTAGACGGTCCGGCTCTGTCGATTGTCCCAACATTGTCGAAAGATCCTTCTACTCTGTCGTCGACAATATTGACCAATGGAGCAGCGACAGCTAGCGCTGGCACATCACATGACATGTGCTCTAGAGGGCCGATGGGAAAACTTGAACGCCACGGTGCCGCTGCGGCAACAGATGCCTCATCCCAAAATGGATGCAATTGGCCTTCAACTTACTAAAAAAGGGGATTAATGACGAAGGTACGAGAAAACGCTGACGTTGCCAGACCAAAAGTGAAATGCCAAGCCAGTGAAGCCACATACCATTGCTTGGGTGATAGATGACCTTTCCCCAGCATGTGGATTTGTCATTTGCTGGGCATTCTTAAAATTGCTTGCTGCTCTGGAGTAGAGCTTTCTTCACATCCTTTTCAGCATTTCATAAGAACCCAGTGAGGGATGGAGTAACTGATGCACAGCTTCTGACCAAGAGCGACAACGGTCAAATGCCATATCAGAAGCAGGCAGCAAAAAAGGAAAAAAAAAAGATAAGCAGGTAGCAAACTGTGATGGTTTACCTGCTGGCCTGCATTCTCTGTGTAAACCATGGCTGTGTCATATGCGATAAGCCATGGTTTACCTGGTAGTAAAATCTGATGGTTTTCCTGCTGGCCTGCCTGCATTCTCTAGGAAGTTCTTGGTGCAGATTAACCATGGTGGCGGTTGTGTTGCAAATCGTAATGCGATCGAGTCGAGGTGAAACACAATCAAAGCTTTGTTTTCCAAGCTTGTGGGAAAACATAAGCGGTTCAAATTGCCGTTTAATGTTGGTATGAGCTGCATGCAGAGGATAGAACATGCTTATCTTCATCTTGAAGGTGGGGCATGTGACACTCGAAATAAGTCTGCGTCCTGACGAATCGGGGCGAATCCCTGCATGTAGACCCAAACCTGTTGCGTCGCCGTTGGTTAATCGATCCAACCACAACTGAAAAAGGGTGGGGCCATCTGGTAACCAGTTGTGATTGTAAGGTTGTGATGCTTTAAACCACCAGCACCTACCGCATCGCTAGACGTTAACGCTGTGGATGAATCGGCCTACCGCACAGGTCTGTATTCGTTCGCGTCAGAGGGGGCCTCAGAAGCCAGTAGATACTGGTGGTTTAAACCACCAGTACATCCGAGCTGCTTTTTGCCAATGCACATTCCCCCTGTGTGCCAAGCTTTGCCGAACAGCAGGGTGGTGCTTTTCCTGTTCTTGTTAGCTAGTGCCGCCAGCCATTTTGGTCTGGTAGTTGGATCATCGCTCGACTGAAAAAGAGTGGGCCACCTGGTAACCAGGGTGGCAGTAAGGTAGTGATGCTCTAAACCACCACCAGTACATGTGGGCCTTCTTTTGCCACCGTTGATTCCCCCTGCGTGCCAAGCTTTGCCAAAACGCCAGGGTGGTGCTTTTCCTCTTCTTGTTGGCTGGCCCCGCCAGCCGTTTTGGTCCGGTAGTTGGATCATCGCTCCAACGACACCGACCGAAAAAGAGTGGGCCGCCTGGTAACCTGGGGGAGACACGTGGTAGCCAGGGGGTGTCCACCTGGTGACCAGGGTGGTAGTAAGGTATTGATGCTCTAGAGTCTAAACCACCAGTACATGTGGGCCTTTTTTTGCCAACGTTGATGCCCCCTGCGTGCCAAGCTGTGCCGAAACGCCAGGGTGGCGCTTTTTTCTGTTCTTTCCGGTTGGTCGCACCAGGAGTTTTGGTCCAGTAGCCGCAAGCCTCCGAACTTTTCTGACTGAGCGCGGATTTCGCTTCTCAAGTTTGCCTGGGCCATGTACAAGTGGCCTTAGTCATGATGAACAACACGACTAACTGCGGATGTCGGATTCTAACTGCGGATGTCGGATTCGAGCCCCAAATGTCGGTAACTACTGATTGCCAAGTCAGCTGGGATCCATCCGCTCGTTCTGAGCAGCGCGATCTGGTTGCAGACAAGAGTTGTGATTCTTGTGAAGTTTGGCTTGTGGACAGACAGCAGGTTGTAGTTGTCCAACCCTTTTTCTTTTCTTTTTTTTTTTCTTTTTTTTTTTTTGTTAAGGTTTTTGGAACTTTTTGCTTGCTTCCATTGGTGAGGTCACACTAGTTGAGATGCTTTCTGGTGGCTGACGCATGTTTGTGAGGGACGGCATACTTTGCGTTGAGCACACTATCGTTGAGACATGATGGCTTTTGGGAAGTTGGGGGGGTGATGATTACCATCAGATGAGCAACATGATGAGGGAAGTGAAGACGTGAAACGTGCAGCGGATGATTACTGTCAGATGATCAACGTGACGTGGCGGCGAAGCTGTGCGGCGGATGACGAGTGTGATATGTGAAATGTACAGCAGGTTCCATCCAGATGGCGGCGAAGCTGTGTGGGTGACGAATCGTCATCAGAGTGCCGCTTCTACTGCCAATGTGGCAGGCTGATAGGCCGGGATGCTTATTGGGACTGTGAGCGTGAAACGGCGGTGGTATCGACGTGATTTCTGCAGTGAGATGGAGAATTTCGCTAAGTTCTGCACACAGATGTGATGCTGCGACTTCGATCGCATAGGATAAGGTGTGGGAAGATCTTGAATTTGCGGCTGCTGCTGGATGTCCACGAACTTCAACATTGGGGACGAGAAAAGGGGAAGAAAGATATGTCCATCTGAAATGATCTTACGACGAGGGCTATATATAGATTGATTGAATTGTCGGCGACAAGAGATGGTTGTCTGATGATGATATGATCCTTGCAAGAGCATCACATCGAAAGGATAGCAATGACTGTGAGGAAGTCTGACTAGTCAGTCTGTGTGGTAGTTACACCACCAGTTCACAGGAGACTAAGTGGGAGAAGCTACCTTCCAAGCAAGTCTGACTGGTCAGCCGGTTTTTTTTTTTTAGCGACCTTTTTTTTTTTTTTTTTTTGAAGTAGCCTTCCGCGTTCACTACCGGCCGTGCGCGAAGTGTTGTTGCCTTGCCAGTGCTAAGTTGAGAAGGTACCTTCCGCGGCACTCATGAGGGAACTTTTTTTTTTCAGTGGCCTTCTACGCTCGCTACCGACCCAGGCCTGAAGGGTCATGGCCCGACTTAGCATCCGGCGAACTGGTGCTGTAACTGTGCTACCGATAGGTGTGGTTCTGAAGATGGGCTACCGGTAGGTGTGGTTCTGAAGGTGGGCTACCGGTAGGTGTGGTTCTGAAGATCGGCTACCGGTAGGTGTGNCGGTAGGTGTGGTTCTGAAGATGGCCTACTGGTAGAGATGGGCTACCGGTAGGTGTGGTTCTGAAGATGGGCTACCGGTAGGTGTGGTTCTGAAGATGGCCTACTGGTAGAGGTGGGCTACCGGAGGTGTGGTTCTAAAGATGGGCTCTGTCTAGACTGATCAGGATGGATGGCAAATACTGCACCCAGAGAATATTCATGCTGGGAATTTCCGAGATGAACCTTACCGTAATTATGGCTGCACTGGGATGTATTTGACTGCTATTACGTCCAGAAGTCAATTGAAAAACTACTAGTGCGAGTATGCCCTCGATCATAGCTGAAAGGCCGAGAAAGGCATAAATCGACCTCTTGCGTATGTCGGGTAACATGAAGAGGTTACTCTCACGTTTTAACCTGTACTTTAGAGAGACGGGTCTTCGTGTTTTAGCTTGGGAACCTCAGGGGGGTACGGTCTTCACCCCAATAGAACGCCCGGTCATTGTAGCTGCATTTGGTGCGCGGCTTTCGGTCCAGATGCAGCGGCTGCTTGGAAGTTCCCAGTGTAATACTGAGCCCGAGTGGGATGTTGATTGGCGCTTTTCTTACATACACGAAAGAAGAAGAGCAGACTCTGGGCGGAAAGAAGAGGGGCAGGGTGAAAACTTTAGCTGTGGATGTCACCCATCAGGAGAGATTGGACAGAGAAAGGCAACTGATTGAGTAAAAACTACCTTCTGTAGAATCCAGATCCGTCTCTGTGCTCCGACTCCTCTGAGGCAACCAGTTTCTGCTTAATGCCAAGTGTCTAAAAAAAATAATAATAATAAAAAATTCACTGTCTATTGGTTGGGGGTGGCATGCCTCATTCAGGGACGTTGGGCCCCGAGATTTGGTGATTATGTTGTTTAGATTCAACAACATCCTTTTTTTTTTTCCTCTGTCACAAATCTAGCTGTTGAAAGCAGAGAAAGGGAGGCGCTGGGGTGAAGTTGGCTGTAGATTGCATCCATCAGAAGTGATCTGTGGTGATGTGTGGTCAGAAGGCGGAGGGCATTCTCAAAGTAGGATGCTTTTGTTTGTCTCGGGATGCCATTGCGGCTAGATGCATTCAGGCCAGGCCATAAATTCGGTCAGATTCATATAAGATAGTGCTAGTGTGAGTACGCCCTTACTGTACTACTGCAAAAACGTCTCTTTTGCAGCACAGCATGGTTTGCATCCCCGGTGGGTTGTCGATGATCTACAGAGGCTGTTTGGTCTTT